ATGTGAAATTAAACAGAACCAACAAGTTGTTTTTTTCGGTTTAGTTCTGCAAGATAATTTGTCTTACAGTTATCACATTGAAAATCTTAAATCAAAAATCAATAAATTCATAAGTATACTTTATAAAATCAAAAATAAGATTAATTCTACAATATTAAAAGATTTGTATTATAGCTTTATATACCCTTATATTCATTATTGCGTGATCATATGGGGAAATAGTCCTGCTTATCAGCTAGATCCCCTGTTAAAATGTCAAAAACGTTTTATAAGAATTTTATTCGATTTGAAATTTAATGATCACACCTCTAATTATTTTCAGATTGCAAAACTACTTTCATTAAAACAAATTTATTACACATGCATCTCAATATTTATATTTAAACTTATTAACAACTTAATTCCAAAAAATTTTAATTATTTGTTTATTTATAGTAACGCAATCTAGTTAAAACATACAAGACATATCTCAACATTTTATATTGAAAAAAACAGATTGAAACTTATCAATAGTAGCATAAGAGTCGTCGGACCTAAGAAGTGGAACAAATTACCTGAATATTTGAAATATGCAAAATCCGTTGTAAAATTTAAAAAAGACATCAAATCCGACTTTTTAACACCCTTAACTTTTTGTGTGGGCTCATGTACGTGTGTGTGTGTACGTATGTGTGTATGTGTGTGCGTGTGTGTATGTATATATATGTGTGTGGGTGTGTGTGAATAAGTATGTTTTACGTGGGTCTATATATATATTTGTGTTTCAATAATTACAAACGACATTCTGATAAAAATGTAAAAGAGTTGATTACTTAATAATTATGATTCCATTTTTGGTTTTTTAGGATTTTAATATGAATGTGAGTTTACATGCACTTAAATATTTAAAATATGCTCTCATTTTTACAATTGTCACTTGTAATCATTACAAGAAAACCATATTTTTTTTTTCGATTTCCAGATCATTTCTTTTCATTGATATCATTTCTTTGATTTCTTTGTTTTGATTTGATGAAATAAAAAATATCAAATGTCAAATATATATATTGTTATAATATTCTCGCTGTCGTAACCGATTTACGATGCGACGGGTTCAAATCTTCGATTGAATAAAATATTCCAAACAGTTATTAAACTTTATTTACAGAAGAAATCAACTATTATCAGTTATTAAACTTTATTTACCGAAAAAATCAACTAATCGTTTATTTCTAGTAATATCGCACTAACGCAACAATTAACTTTTAAATCTTTCAAAATCTATCGCTATGACAACGTCAACAAACAAATCAAATATCGCTTTAAATAATTCACCGAATCGCTATTCACAAAATCACGAACTTCACTAATCACGAATATCACTAATCACGAATATTACTAATCACGAATTCACTAATCACGAATATCACTAATCACGAATATCACTAATCACGAATATCACTAATCACGAATATCACTAATCAAGAATCTTCTTGCGACGTACGCTTATATACTCTTCGCAAGCGTCGTTTCTAGATTCTTCCAGATGGTCCGATTCTAGCATACTCTAGAATGCTCCAGTCACTAGAACATTCCAGAATACGCTAGAATCCAGTGCGTTCGGTATCACGGTTATAACATTACCCCCTTCTTAGTTCTGTTTGTCCCGAACAGCTTTCGTTCCGGTGTCCGTATGGTACGGAGCCAGTCTATCCAAATGAACGATCTTCATTCTTGCTCTCGGCTTCCGATATTCCTGAATACGGTAGACAACGTCATTCAAGCGGTTGATGACTTGATAAGGTCCTTCCCACCCTCGCTGGAGCTTTGGAGAACGTCCTTTCTTTCGCTGCGGGTTGTACAGCCAAACTAACTCGTCGACAGCAAAACCGCCACTGCTTCCTTTCAAGTCGTATCTGGTTTTGGCCGCCTCCGTGTTTTTCATAATTTTAAGGCGTACGTAACGGTGGATATGGTTTAATCGCTGTCGAAGATTATCCACGTATTCTGTTAATGGTTGGTGTGGTTCAGGTAGTACGCCATATTTCACATCAGCTGGAGTTCTTAAGGTAGTCCCAAACAGAACTTTTGATGGCGTTTCTCCAGTAGTTGTGTGGATAGCACTCCGGTATGCCATAAGAAACAATGGTATATGACGATCCCAATCCCGTTGATTTTCGTCGACTACTTTAGCCAGATGTTCAATCAGGGTTTGGTTAAATCGTTCCACCATACCGTCAGACTGTGGGTAAAGAGGTGTCGTTCGAGTTTTGTTTATACCCAGCAGCTTGCACATTTCCGCAAACAGTTGTGACTCAAAATTTCGACCTTGATCTGAGTGGAGTTCCAATGGGACACCATATCGACTAATCCAATTGAGTACAATTTCCTCAGCGACGGTACATGCTTCTTGGTTGGGTATTGGAAACACCTCAGGCCATTTGCTGAAATAGTCCGCTACAACCAAAATGTAACGGTTTCC